GCTATCTTGAGTTAACAAGGGAGTAGCCCATTTGGCAGCCTGCCCAGACAAAAGACTAATAATAAATCGTACCTTAGCCCGGTCATTTGGAAAGTCTTCAGGCCTCAAGGACATAAATAATTGACACTGCCCCAGAAATGCCGGAAACATGTCCATTTGTCCTGAAAATTTCTCTGGCATGGATACCGGGCTTTTCCTCAAGGGAGGGGCTGAAGGAGCAGCAGGAATTTGCAAGCTTGAAATATGATTCACCAACTGGGTTACCTGGTTTTGGAGGGTCTGGTTACTTTGTAACAGCTGGTTTATTTGTTGCTGTTGCTGCTCCACCAAATGCTGCAGTTGAGTTGTATCCATCTCGGTTTGAAGATGGTTTGTTTGGGCTTGGAAGCAAAAATGTTATGTCTCACCTATATTCATAGATGAGAAGACAAGGTTTCAGAATTCAAAATATTCAAGCAGAAACAAAACCGAATTCAAAAGGATTAAATTAGCACAGTTGTCCAGTCCTTGGCAGACTTCCCGGAACCTGTCAGGCTAATCAGAATTGTCCATAACTCACAAGGCCACTTCAAATGTATTCTTCCGACTCATCAAACACTTTGCTTCCAAGCAAAGCTTGGAGCACGCCTCTTTAAATCAGCTGGATAGGCGTGTCAGTCTCTCCAATCAATGTTTGTCCTGACGCCTCCCTTCAGATTGACGCTTCCTGGTTCTTCTAGTTCTGGCGTCAATCCACAATCTGTCAGTTTCCTCGCTGGAAACTTCTGTCTCATTTTGTTGATCATTTGCTGGCCTGAACGAAGTCAAAGGTTCTGGGGAGGATTGTCTCTGCGACAATCTCTCATCCTCCTGGCTCACGTCTGTGTCCTCTGATAATTCAGACTCCACATTCACAGCAGGCTCCAACCTTCCATCGTCAGAGTCATCCGAGTCAAAACTCCCAGCAGGATCGATCCTTCCAGTCACTATATATATATATAGAGAGAGAGAGTTTGTTTTACTATAAAATTAGTAAAGGGAGCCTCTATTCTAAAAAATATAAACAGTCAAAAAGGAGAGAAAGAATAAGTAAATATAAGAGAAAAAACCAGTCCAGTTAACAATTGCTAAATCGCGATAGAAGTTCAGTAAAAAAAAGTAAAAGTAAAAAGCCAAGCCTCACTTTGACATTTCTCTTTAAAAAATCGCCGCTAAGTCAGTTTTGTCAAAAATCTTACAGATTTCTTCTCCTTCTTAGGGTGTCCTTAAGTCCCAAATATTAATAAAAAAAAAAAGTCCTCACCAACCGATACACTTTCTCTTTCAATCTCTTCCTTCCGGAGCTGTCCCAGCTTCAGCAGCTTAATGGCTGCCTCTCCGCCGATGGTAGAAGGGCTTCTCCTGGATCAACCAGGGACTTTGCGATGTCCCTGGGATCAACAGAATGCGCCCCTTGCTATCACCGTCTCTACGGGACGGTTTAGGTCCGTTGGGACCGACCAGGGGCGAAGATATCAGCTGCGATCTCGGAGCCCTGAGATTGCAGCTGTATCGCAGCGACGTGGCTCCGCCTTCTCCTTCATCTTGATTGTTGTTCTCCCTATTAGTGACAGTTGTAAATTTTCCCATTTCGCCAGATCTAGCATTATCTGCTGTTTAAGTTTAATATAATTATTCTCTTTTAGTGTACTGCATCTTGCTGTCAAGTATATCCCCAAGTACTTGATCTTATTTGTGACCTGAATTTTCAATAGGTCTGCCAATTCTTCCTTTTGTCTTGATAGCATATTCTTTGTCAAGATCTTTGTCTTATCTTTATTTATTTTCAAACCAGCCACCTTTCCATATGAACTTTTAAATGATCTTTTGCACGATATTCTGATTTTTCGAGTTTCACCTGTAGAGTTTCCTGCTTGAGCAAGCGGTTGGACTAGAATGCCCCTAAGGTCCCTTCCAGCTCTCTGTTAAATGCACATATTATAGGGAGAAAACTATTCATCAGTGTTCAACTAGCGAGTATAATAATGTGTTTTTGTCCATTGCCCTTTTCACATTTTTTAAAATGTTCTTGCCTAGTTTTGTTTTGTCTCTGTTCAGTTTTTTTTTGTTTTGCTTTATATTTTTATTTTCTGAGTAAAATAAAAATGTTAGATTTTTTTTAAAAATGAAAGCAACCAAGCTTAGAGAGCCCCAAGGACCGCCCGCTCCCCCCCCCCAAAAAAATGGTATTTCTCTTGCTCACGAAGACTAGACACCCTTTAGAACAGGGGTGGGCAAACTACGGCCCGCGGGCTAGATACGGCCCGTTGGTCATTTTAATACGGTCCGCCTCTGAAAAAAAATATTCCCCTCTGAAAAAAATATCGGGGCCGGCCAAAAGGGACCCCATGCCACATGCCAAAAAATCACACACACAACACGGAGCTGGGCAGCCGCTTCCCTGGTGGGGCCGAGGTCGCCGCCTGGGGAACGCCCACTGCTTTCCCTCGTCAGGGCCGGGCGGTGGCGTGTTGCCCTGCGCCGCGTGGCCCCTGCCAGGCAGCGTGCTTCTCTGCTGGTCTCCTCCTCCTCGGCCATACAGAACAAACAGGCAGAGAAGGAGGAGACCAGCCGGCTGGTTGGGGGAAGCTTTCTACGCCGAAAGAGGCAGCTACTAATCTCCAGCTTTGCTCTGCTTCTCCAATGGTCCAGCACCACCCTGTTCTATGCGCCGGCTGTTCGGACTTGCTGGGCCTGACACATAGAACAGGGCGGCACCGGATGTTGGAGAAGCAGAGCGGAGCTGGAGATCATTAGCCACCTCTTTCGCAGCACAAGAAGCCTCCCCCAACTGGCCAGCTGCTCTCCTCCTCCTCTGCCTGTTCGTTCTGTATGGCCGAGGAGGAGTAGACCAGCCGGCTGGTTGGCGGAAGCTTTCTGCGCCGAAAGAGGCAGCTACTAATCTCTGGCTTTGCTCCGCTTCTCCAGTGGTCCGGCACCACTCTGTTCTATGCGCCGGCTGCTCGGACTTGCTGGACCTGACACATAGAACAGAGCATGCTGCAGGCATCTCGCGACAAGCCCCAGGACATGTGGTCACCTGCTGGCTGGCCGGGCCAGGCCAGGCTGGAAGAGGCACGTTCTCCAGAAGAAGGAAGAAAGCGTGCTCCGGGAGGGCAGGTGCCGGGCAGGTGGGCGGATGTTCCGGGACCACTTAAAGGTCAACTTTAAGAGTGCCCCCATGGAAGAAGCCGAGCAAACGTAGTGGCGGCAGGGGTGACGGGGCATGTGTGTCCCTCCACAAGGAGTATGAAGGGAGGCAGACACTGCACCTCTCAGGAAAAAAGTAGGTGCCAAAGCCCTGGCTGTCACCTGGGAGGGGACCGTGGGCGGACCCATCGCATGCCCTTGTTGCCCCCGCCGCCTCTACTTTTGTTCTCGTTCTTGGCTTCTTCCATGGGGGCGCTCTTAAAGTCAATCTGGAAGACGTATTGTTAGATCGCCACCAACTCATCGTTGGGAGAGGTGCAGCCCCTGAATACTCGAGAAGTTTTGGGCAAAGTTCTCTGACTTTTAAAACGCATCTGTGTGGTGTTTGCCTCCCTTCATGCTCCTTGTGCATTCCGGGAGCACCTAACTGGAGCAAAAGAGAGCGAAGTTGACTGCTATGAAATGAGCACCTTGGCTTCCCCTCTTGCTCCTCACAGTTGCCCTCTGCTGGTGCGGTTCTTTACTTGGGCAGCCAGACGCCCGCAGCAGCAACAGGCAGTTCTGCCCGGGCTCCGCTCAGGTGTCCAGCTGGGGCTGTCAGGAGTTGCTACCGCCAGCGCAGCTCCAGTCCCGCGTTGCCTTGGGAAGGGAAAGGCAAAACCAGGAGCCGCTGAGCCTGAGCCTCCAGTGCCGCTGCTGCCGTTGCAAAGCGCCGCCGCGGCTCTTCCTTTTTGCCTCCGAGGGGAGGGGAAGGAGGAGAAGAAGGGGGGGGCGATTCCCAAAAAATCTTGTGCTGACCCGGCCCGTCTGTCAAATTTTAAAAGTCAATGAGGCCCCCGAGCCAAAAAGTTTGCCCACCCCTGCTTTAGAACATTCTCAATTTAACATCTTATCATTCTCTGATACCCCTGAACTAAAGAGGGAGGAAGATCCTTCCTCGTCTCATTTGCAATACTGTTCTGACCCAGCTCCCTGTACACAACAAATCCTCTGAAGTAAGCTCAAAGATTTCTTTATTAGGAGCGCCAACAGCCCCGGCAAAATGTCTCTCTCTCACTGCAGGCAAACAAGCCTGTCCGGCCAGAAGATGAATAGTTGTCTGCCACATCTATTCGTCTCCACCCCCTACCTTTTATCCCCAGAGCTAGGGTGGGGCCTCGCTAGCAGCAGAGGCTCTACTGGCCCTTGGATTGGATTCGATTCGATTAGATTAGATTAACAGAGTTGGAAGGGACCTTGTAGGTCATCTAGTCCAACCCCCCGCCCAAGCAGGAGACCCTACACCATTTCTGACAAATAGCAGTCCAATCTCTTCTTGAAAGTCTCAAGTGATTAAGCTCCCACAACATCCGAAGGCAAGCTGTTCCATTCGTTGATTGTTCTCACTGTCAGTTCCATAGATTTCTACTGCTCTCATCTCCTCTGCCTTCTGTGCATCCATGCGTTCGGCACTGGACCCAGCTGTTACTCTTCTTCATCAGCCACCTCCAGACTTGACTATCTGAGCGCTGACAGACGGCCCAGGCTCCACCTCTCCCTCTCCCTCTCTCTCTTTAAGAGCTCCATTCCCTCTTACCCCTCGGAGCTCTTAGGTTGCCTTGATGCTGACCCTGACTCCCATGCCGCCGCCGCTGCTTCCTCTGATTCAGCTGCTGGAGGGGCCGGCGGCTGACAGGCCACAACAAACTTGAAGATGTTCGGATCAAGAAAAAATGGGGAAGAAGGGTTCCCCACAAACCAGGTTTAGAGCAGCACCGGTCCTGCTGTTTTGTCAAGTTCAGCCCGGTCCCTTCCAGCTGAGAAACCTCTGTCCCACCCTTCTTCCCTCCCAGGTGGTCCCTGTCGAAGGGCAAGAGAATGGCCAAGGGGAGGAGGAGGAAGAGGAGAAGGTCCACGAGGAAGAACAGCCGGAGTCGGCACCCGTTATCTCTGTAGAAACTGTGGCTCTGCCTCCCCTGGTAGAGCACGAAGTCAAAAAAGGTACCTGGGGAGGACGGATGACAACCGTCAGAAGACTGGGAGCTATTGACCCTGACAGGTAAGACTCACCTGTGTGAGTTTCTGTCTCAGTTTGCCCCACAGTCACACTGAGCGACACGCTCACCCGGCGGTCCATCAGCCAGCAGTGTTCCAGGGTCTCCATCACCATCGACGATCCCGTCCGCACGGCCCAGGTGCCCTCCCCACCACAGGGCAAGGTCAGCTGTATCGTTCACATCTGCAACCTGGTGAGTGTTTTTGGGACGGCGTAACTATTTCAGAGGTTTTTTGGGGGACATTGGGAGTCTTTCTTAACACCCGGATGTTTGTGTGAATAGGTGAGGCCCTTCACCCTGGGGCAGCTGAAGGAGCTGCTGGGCCGGACAGGCACCCTGGTGGAGGAGGCTTTTTGGATCGACAAGATCAAATCGCACTGCTTCGTCACAGTGAGTCTTTGGGGTTTCCACCTCCTCCTCCAGAAATTCTCCTTTCCAGAAAAATCGGCATTTTGCATCAATCCAGCTCTGCTCAGGTGCTTTTGAAGGTGAAAGCTACACTATACTGAGGATCCCAGATTGTCTGGGTTTGTTCGTGATGCTGCTTGATGCCAAATGCTATCCAGGTTTTAAAGGGAATTTAGAGGGTGTTTTAAAACAAGTTCTGCTTTGGGGGGAATTTTAACTGGAATGTCTACAGGGATTCTCTATCATCCAGGTAAGGGTTGTCCCAAAGATGCTTTTTTTCAAAAGGCAGCTTGAGTTTTCCTGGGTTTTTTCCCCCCTTGAAAATATTTCACTTCTCATCCAGGAAGCTTCTTTAGTTCAGTTTAAGAGGAACACTTCAGGATTTAGGAAGCAGGGGGAAGAAATGGCTGGAAACACATCTCTCTCCCCCACTCTTTCTCTCCTCTCCTCTCCCTCTTTTTCTCCCCCCCTCTCTTTCTGTCTCCTCCCTTTCTCTTTTTCTCCCCTTTCTCTTTTTCTCCCCTCTTTCCCCTCTTTCTCTTTCTCCTTTCTGTTTTTTTTCTCCCTCTTTCTCCTCTCTTTTTCTCATTCTCCTCTCTCTTTCTTTTTCTGTCCCCCTCTTTCTCCTCTCTCTCACCCTGTTTTTCTCTTCCCGCCCTCTCTCTCCCCTTTCTTTCTCCTCTTTTTTTCTCCTGTCTCTTTTTCTCGTCTCTCTCTCTCTCTGTTTTTCTCTCCTTTCTCTGCCTCTCTCTTCCACCAATATTGTCTTTCAGTATTCAACAGTGGAAGAAGCTGTCGTGACGCGAAACGCCCTTCATGGGGTCAAGTGGCCACAGTCTAACCCCAAGTTTTTATCTGCTGATTTTGTGGAGCAGGATGAGGTACGGAGCCCAACAGGGAAGAAAGATGTGGGACAGGTGGGGAGGGGGATCACCCAGAGTTCATTGCAAGAAAGTGAAACAGGAATACATGCTCCAAAAATGATGGGGTTTTTTTTTCCAGAAGACAGTTCTCTCTGACTGTTAGCCATACAGGTAGTCCTCGGCTTACATTTAGTGACCCTTCAAAGTTACAATGGCACTGAAGAAAAGCAATTTATGACCACTGTTGCAGCAACCCCATGGTCATGTGATTTACATTCGGGGGCTTGGCAAATGACTCATGTTTATGATGGTTGCAGTGTCCTGGTGGTCACGTGATCCCCTTTTGAGACCTTCCGACAAGCAAAGTCAAGGCGGGGGGAACCGGATTCAGTTACTGGTTATAAATCGAGGACTACCTGTAAAATTGACACCACAAGATAATGTCTCTTAGCTTTCTCGCAAGTATCCTTTAATTTTGTATTCCAGAGAGCTTCCACCTGCTCACCTGAGGCTGTTCCTTTCTCTTCCTCAGCTGGATTTCCATCGTGGTCTTCTGGCCAACCGTTCTGCCGAGGCCAAGGCGGATGAAGCGCCCACCTTCCCCGGGGTGGGCCCAACCACGCGGGGGGAACGGGAGCTGTCCCGGCGCTTGGAGGCACGGGAGCGGGAGGCGGCCGTGCGGGAGCAGTGGGCCGAACGAGAGCGAGAGATGGAGCGCCGGGAGAGGACCCTGGCAGAGCGGGAGTGGGATCGGGACAAGGTGCGCGAGGGGCCCCGTTCACGCTCCCGGTCCCGAGAGAAACGCCGCAAAGAGCGGCCCAAATCAAAGGAGAAGAAAGCTGAGAAGAAAGGTAACGAGAGAGAGTTTGGTCTACTGGTTAAGGCACCAGGGTAGAAACTGGACAACCATGAGTTCTAATCTCACCTTAGCCATGAATGCTGATTGGGTAAACTTGGGCCAATCACCAGGAGACAGTGAATTCTAGTCCCACCTTAGACATGAAAGCCAGTTGGGTGACTTTGATCCAATCAGGAGACTTGAGAATTGTAGTCCCACCTTAGGCATAACTCATCTGGGTGACTTTGGTCCGATCACCAGGAGAGTGGGAGTTCTAGTCCCACCTTAGGCATGAAAGCTGGCAGGATGTCTTTGGGCCAGTTCCTCCCTCTCAGCCCAACCCATGTCACAGGGTTGTTGTGGAAAACAGGAAGAGGAAGCAGTGTTAAATATATTTGCCACCTGGAGTTGTTTGTAAATATAGTAAAAGCAGAATCTAAGGCCTGGCCTCCTCCTTCAGTCTTTTCTTTTTTTTTTCTTTCTTTTTTTTTTTTTGCAAAAACTCAATAACAACCAACTTTCTTATCTTCCTCCCCAATAGAAAAAGCCCAGGAAGAACCTCCGGCTAAACTTCTTGATGATCTGTTTTGCAAAACCAAGTCAGCCCCTTGCATTTATTGGTTACCCCTCACGGACATCCAGGTGAGACGGGACGGGCACCGGCCAGGGTGACATGGTTGTCTCAAGATGTGGTTTCTTGGTTTCTTCAGCCCTGAGGATGAGAAGGTGCTTTCAAGACACAGTCCTTGACTTAAGGCCACCATTGAGCTTTTGTTGCTAAGTGAGACGGTGGTTAACTGAATTCTTCCCAACATTCCGACCTGTCTTGCTGCCGTGGTTAAGTGAGTCACTGTATCAGTTCAGTTAGGAACCCGGTTGTTAAGTGAATCGGGCTTCCTGATCAGCAGGTCACAAAAGGGGATCGCACGACCCCCGACACCACGAACGTCATAAATACAAGTTGGTTGCCAAACATCTGAATTTTGATCCCAAAATGGGGATGCTGTAATGGTTGTAAGTGTGAAAACCAGTTGTCACTTTTTTTCAGTGCTGTCATAACTTCCAACGGTCACTAAGTGAGGCTGTTGAGAACCGCCTGTACTTCTCGTCATAGGCATTTTGAGAGATAAGAAATGTGATTGTCGATGGTTATAAAAATGCAGCAGGCATCTTGGAGCACATATTCCAACAAAAGACACTTTAGAAGCTTTTTTGCAAGCTGCAGTTTAATAAAATGACAAGCTGCAATTTTAATAAAAATGTTCCCAGATTCTTCCTGATTTCCACTCACTAGGGAAAGCAGATTTGATGACTGGGCATTTTTTTGCCTGATCCAGAAACTTCGGGTGGAAGATAATTCCGATATTTGGAGAAATATTTCATGTACAAGTAGTCCAGTAGTTTCAGTTACAACGGCACTGAAAAATGTGATGACCATTTTTCACACACCGCGACCATTGCAGCATCCCCATGGTACCAGAGGAAAATGCATGCAATTTGAAAACTTAAGCACAATTTTTTTGAATCAGCAAATAAGCCAGGTAGGTGGTTGTCCCATAAATTAAAGATAGAGAAAGAAAAAAGACTAATCCAGCCACTTAAGGATGAGGAAGGGAAAGTATGCCATCAGATGGAGGAGAAAAAGAAAATTGTGCAAAGATATTTTGGTGAGCTTTATAAGCAAGAAGAAGTTACGGAAGAAAATATTAGATATTATTTGGAGAGAAATGGTCTGAGCCCAATCTCTGAAGAAAAAAAGAGAAATACCCAATAAAGAAATAACATTGGTAGAGCTACAAAGGTGATACAAAAACAATAAAACCCCAGGTCCGGATGGTTTACCTGGCGAATTATATAAAAACGTGCATGAAATATTTGAACCAATACTACTAGAACTATATAACGAGGCATTAATGGAAGCTAGACTCCCGAGGTCCTGGTCCGAGGCATACATCTCATTAATCTCCAAAGATGGCACCGATCAACAACTTGTTGCCAATCTCGTTGCTAAATACGGATTATAAGATATTCATGACAATATTGGCAGAAAGAATGAAACTGATTTCGAGTGAAATTATACATACAGACCAGAATTGTTTCCTGCCAAATAAACAAATCAAAAATAATATTAGAATAGTACTAAATTTGATTGAATATTATGAAGCACACCCAGAAAAACAGGCAGCTTTAATTTTCCTAGATGCGCAAAAGGCATTCAATAATTTAAATTGGCAATTTATGATATATCAAATTTAAAAATTGAATTTTGACACTAATATAGAAAAAAACATTACAAAAAATATATTCAAATCAAAAAGTGAGTGTACTGGTAAATGGAGACAGCACGGAAGATTTTGAAATTGTGAAAGGAGTGAGACAAGGGTGTCCACTATCGCCTTTGCTATTTATCTTTTCTTTAGAAGTGTTACTAACTGCAACCAGACAAAACCAGAGATTCAAGAGATTAAAATTAGAAATGAGGAATATAAGGTTCAGGCATTTGCCAACAATTTGGCATTTATAGTTGAAGACCCAATAAACACGGGACCAATATTGTTGTAACAAATAGAAAAATTTGGGGAACTGACAGGATTCAAAATAAATATAAAACTAAGATGATAGTCAAAAATTGTACAACAAAGCAGAAAATAGAATTAGAAAATACAATAGGACTACAGATAGTAAAGAAGGTGAAATACCTTAGAATTTGGCTATCACCCAGATGTTCATCATTAAAAGAGGATAATTATGTTAAATTGGTTAAACAAATTAGGAAAGAATTGGAGCTATGGGCAAAACTGAAACTATCTTTATTAGGAAGAATAGCCGCATTGAAAATGAATACCTTACCAAAATTAATATATCTATTTCAAATTATCCCAATTAAACTAGGGAAACCCTTCTTTACAGAATTAAACAAAATGACATCTAAGTTTGTCTGGTTGGACAAGAGGCCACGTATCAAAATGAAACTATTACAAGATAACAGGAGCAGAGGCGGTCTTGGACTACCAGAGTGGGAGCTCTACTATCAACAGCGGTGCTGAATTGGGTCGAAGATTGGGTCAAACTAAGAGATAAGAGAATTTTAACACTAGAAGGACATGACCTCCAGATAGGTTGGCACGCATTTTTGTGGGAAAACAAAAGTAATATACATACCTATTTTAATCACCATTTACTATAACTGACTACAACATGGAAGAAAATCAAAAGTAAACATTATATGGAAATACCACAATGGCTGTCAGTCATGGAGGCCATGATCCACCCACATAGGTTAGATTTAAGGAAAATGGTAAGCTATGGGGAATTATTAAATAATCAAGGAAAATCAAATCAAGAGCTAAAGGAAAATAGAATTGCAATTGATTGGTGGCCAGATTTGCAAATCCAAAATAAATATAAAAAAGATTTGAAACATTTTGGATTTGATAAAAGGCAAAACCAACTAGACAAAATTTTAATGGGACCGGAACAAAAATTTATAACCAAAATATACAAATACTTACTAGACTTTAAAATGGAAGAGGAAACAGTGAAAGGTACAATGATAGCATGGGCCCAGAATTTTGGATACAATATAGAATTAGGGGAATGGGAGAAAATATGGAGTGTAAATTATAAATTAACTATATCCTCAGCATACAAAGAAAACATGTATAAAATACAGATGGTATTTAGCCCCAACCAGATTGGCAAGAATTTATCCCAACACAAGCCCAAAATGCTGGAAGTATAAGAAGGTTGACGGTACATTTTATCATATGTGGTGGCCATGCCCCGAGACTAGGACATTCTGGATTCAAATTAAAAACTGGCTTCAAGAGATTACTGGTTATCAGATTGAGCTCAGACCGGAAACCTTCCTTTTAGGAATTATTAAAGATAGAATACCAAAAGAAATAAAATATTTATTGTTACATATCACAACAGCCGCCAGAATAGCCTTTGCACAGGTATGGAAAACTCCCAATATTCCTAAAGAAGAACTGATATTACAAAAAGTAACTGAAAGTGCCGAAATGAATATGTTAATGTTGAAATTGAAAGAAAGAGATGACTCTGATTATTACCTAATCTGGAATAAATGGTATGATTGGTTAGCAAACAGAACTAAAAAATAAGACAAGAAACTTAATTGTAAGAAGCCTTAAGAATGTAAAATGTAAATTTGTAAATTATGTAAGAATATAGGAATAACAATTATAGTTAAAGTTATTAATATTAGATAAATATAAATACAATGTGTTAAGATATTTATAAAAACGTGTATAGATGTTAAGAATGTTGTTGAAACTGATGCTTTATGTTGAAAATTAGAAACTCAATAAAAACATATTAAAAAAAATGTGACAACCATTTTTCACACATAGCGACCATTGCAGCATCCCCACGGTCCCGTGATCGAAATTCAGATGCTTGCTAAGTGACTCATATTTACGACGATTGCAGTGTCCCGGGGTCATGTGATCCCCTTTTGCGACCTTCTGACAAGCAAAGCCAATGGGGAAGTCGGATTTGCTTTACAATTGTGTTATAGGTAATCTTTAACTTACAACCACAATTGAGCCCAAAATTTATGTGACTAAGCGAAACAGCTGTTAAGTGTTGTTCCATTTTATGACCTACCTTTGCCAGAGTTGTTAAATAAATCACTGCAGTTGTTAACCCGGTTTTTGAGTGAATTTGGCTTCCCCATTAACTTCGCTTGTCAAAAGGGGATCATATAACTCTGGGACACTGCAGCCTCTCAGCTACTCTTAGCAAGTCTTGCAGGCAATAGAACGGATGAAATAAATACAGACCAAACAGGTGTTCCGGTAGTATCTTTACTCCGTGCTAAAAATCCAGCAAGTCCAAGAAGTAGTGACCCATTCAAAGCCAGCGCTAAGGCATCCGCCTCCCCAGCATTTCTATATATACTAACCCCACCCCTTCTATTTCCCCTTTCTCTGCTGCACCGGTAACTACCATCCAGTAGTTAAAATCCCCTCCAGCAATCGGCGCCTCATGTCTTCAGTGCCTGTCAGCTGGGAATCTGAACTGGCCCAGCGAGCCACCATAGCCTGCATATCCCGTCCCCAGGCAACACTTGCATCCCGCAGCTCTGGACACCCGACTCGTCTGGCAAGCTTCCCATTCCATTGTGATCCGACTGCATTGTCTCTACTGTTCCCAGTACGCCACGGTCTAGATGAGTAGGAAGGGCAGGAAGGCAGCTGGCAGCTTGGCAAGGACATCGGGATGTGCGGTAGGACAGCTGACAGCAGAAGGGGGGGGAAGTGCATCCCAGCTTGTTTGGTGAGCTCCAGGTCAGAGCTCGACACAGCCGTCATAAATATGAGTCAGTTTCCAAGCATCTGAATTTTGATCATGTGACTGGGCGGGATGCTGCAATGGTCATAAGTGTGCAAAAAGGTCACAAGTCACTTTTTTCAGTTGTGTTATAGCTTCATTAAATAATCATTTTAACGACCCCATAATCCCTTGCGGGATGGAGCTGAGTGTTTATTGGCCAGATGCCCTTCCTGCCACCAGTGTGGAGTTTTTTTCAGCATATATGTTCTCATTGTGTCCAGAGAGAGAAATGTCCGCCTATTTCCCCAATTTCTCACAGCCTCCTGATTGTGAGGCAAGAGCTCCACCTCTAGGCCACTCATTATAGCTTCATTAAATGAACAGTTTTAAATCAAGGACTCCCTGCAGCAATTCACTTAACAACTGTCTCACCAGCCAAAATGTTGGAGTCACTTGTGCGCGTAAGTCGAGAGCTGCCCGTAACGCAGCCTCTTCCCCTTCTGCTTCTCTCCTTGCAGTGTGTCCAGAAACAGGCTGAGCGAGCAGCTCGTGCTCGAGAACGGGAACGCCGGCGCAAAGAATTGGAAGCCGAGGAAGCCCGTCAGCGGGACCGTAACCGCCAAGCCGAGCGGGACAAGCGGCGGGAACACAGCAGAGAGCGAGAACGCGAGCACCCCAATGCCACCAGTGGTGGTGGGGCCAGTCGAGCAGGTGAATGTGGCGGCCGGGGAGACCGTGAACGGCGCAAAGCCAAAAGCCGCCACAGTCGGAGTCGGAGCACGCCTGTACAGGACAGAGGGGGGCGCCGCTGAGCTATTCCCCAGCCTTCCTTTTGACCTTTGGGGTGTGGGGAGGAGTTGGTGGTGGGGGCACTTTCCCTGAATCAAGCTCCTGAGTTTTACAGGCAAGGAGGAACAAGGAGGGGTAGAGAGTTTCTTTGCCCACTGCTGGAAGGGCCAAGAGGGGTCTGGTGTGGCTAGTGGCGGCCAAAGTGGTAGGGCTCTCCCCCCCTTCCCCTAACGGGATAAGTTTGATTCCGGACCCCTCCTGCTCCCCTCTTCTGGAGCCAGTGTCCTTCCTGTTGATTTGTATTTTATTTTGGGAAAATGTTTTTTTATTCTTCTGATGATATAGGAAAGAGAGCATAATAAAGAGATGGCATTAGTTTTAAAGCTGCTGTCCTGCTTCTTTTGGGGGGTGCAGAAAATGGGAAGCCCCCCACCATTGCAGGAAAAATAGTTTGCTATCCTCTTGCAAAGATGCTTGAATCCTGCCCTGATGCATAGGGCTCTTGTGCTTTTGCCCAAAGGGGAAGGGGGAAACCCCCTCTAGCAAGTTGTAGTGGTAGAATTTGTTCCCAAGCCAGCAGGAAAGACACCAAGCTGAGAGAGCACCAAGGACCCCACAGTGCAGCCGTGATCTATAAATATTCCATAGGTACAAATGGTGTGCCTATAGAATATTTGTAGCTCACGGTTGAACTGTGGGGTCCTTGGTGCTCTCTGAGCTTGGTAGTTTTCCTGCAGATGTTTCATTACTAGACTAGGTAACATCAGCAGTACTAGAAAAGACTGAGGTGTGTGGAGTGGAGGAGGAGGAATGTGGGGTCCATGATGCTCTCTCAGCTTGGTGGGTTTCTTGGAGACGTTTCATGACTCAGGTAACATCATCAGTGCTAGAAGGGAGTGGAGTTTGTGAAGTGGAGGAGGAGGAAGGGGAGAGCAGACAGGGAGGAGGAAGAGGATTGTGGGGTCTTTGGTGCTCTCTCAGCTTGCTGGTTTTCTTGCAGATGTTTCATGACCCAATTAGGTAACATCATCAGGGAGTGGGGTTTGGTAAACAAAATCCCAATCAAGGAACTCACAACTCACACAGTCAAACAGTTAACAGCCTAATCAAGGAGCCACCAAGAACACCCTCCAACACTAATAGGGCAAGCCGCTAGCATATAAACAGAGAACAAACCCCACTCCCTTCTAGCACTGATGATGTTACCTAGTTGGGTCATAAAATGTCTGCAGGAAACCAACCAAGCTCAGAAAGCACCAAGGACCCCAATTGAACGGTTCGTATTTATGCAGAAAGAACTATGTATTATATTTCATATATTTATTTAAAACATTTCTGAAGCCGCCCCTCTTCTAACCAACTCTGGGCAGCTACCAATCCAAAGTTAAAACAACCTATAAACTCATACTAAAACTGTAAAACGAAATGGATCAAAATGTTTTTCTTCTGCTTTCCTGTTGAGATCTGAGAACCAACCCACCAAATGAGAGCATCTTCCTTCATCAGGCCTTTTAACTGTCAAAATAGCTCCACCAGCTGAATGTCTCTGGAGATTCTCCATCATCCAAGTCATAGTTGTCCCAAAGGTGGGTTGTTGTTTTTCAAACAGCAACTGGACTTCCTGGTTTTTGCTTGAAGACATTTCACTTCTCATCCAAGAAGCTTCTTCGGCTCTGACTAGATGGGGAGTGGAAGGTATGTCTGCAAGGAATAAAAATCTTTCCATTCCCCACCATCCAGTCAGAGCTGAAGAAGCTTCTTGGATCAGAAGCAAAATGTCTTCAAAGAAAAACCAGAAAGTCAAACTGCCTCTTGAAAAAAGCATCTTTGGGACTTCGACTGTCTAATTTGACTTTCACGAATTCCAGAGTTTAGTTTGGTCACCCAAATACGGAGCACAGAGTGCAGAATTCAGCATACAAACTATACCTGCCCATTATACTATTCTCTTTTCAGCGAAACCAACATTAAGCAAAGCAGAAGAAATAAGACTTTCGAGATCAAATCTGGGTCATTCATTGGAACCAGAGGTTTAGTCTTCTGAGCTTTCGGATCCATCCTGGTGCCCATCCTCAGGGAACTTCTCTAGCAGAGTGTGTGCTTTGGGCTATTCTGTTTTGCAGCTACTAAGATTGTTGGCCAAGCAGGGACAAAAACAGCCAGGGAAATAATTGAAGTGTGGGAAACAGCCCTTTGTCAATCAACTGGCTTATTTATTACCTTTATTGTCAGAGTACGTGTACAATGAGATTGGCTGAGCCTCCCTTCATGCACCCCCACACACACAACTCACAGTGAGGACAGAAGTCCCTATCCCAGACCCAATCTTATTACACTATGTGACCTTGTTGCACAATGCGCTGGCCCAACTATCAAGTACTTAGGATCCACAATAAACAGCCATCAACACCCAATCAGCAACTAAAAACACCCCACACAACAGGCACCATATGCAGGGAGTCTGGCTTACAATAGTTTAGTCACTTCAAAGTTACAACGGTGCTGAAAAATGTGACTTAACTATTGTTTTTCACAGTTAAGACCTTTGTAGCCTCCCCATGTTCATGTGATCAAAATTCAGACGCTTGGCAACTGGTTCATACTTATGGCTATTGTTGTGTCCCAAGGTTATGCGATCCCCTTTTGCGACCTGACAAAGTTAACGGGAAGGCCGGATTCACTTAACAGCTGGGTTGCTAACTTATCAATGGCAGTGATTCACTTTAACAACCGTGGCCAGAAAGGTTGTAAAATGCGGCAAAACTCAATTTTAACAACAGAAATGTTGGGCTCAATTGTCGTAAGTCAAGGTCTACCTGTGTTCGCCTTCCTTCGTGAGACTTGAGAATTCACCTGCAAAGGAAATTAAAAGGCCAGAAAAAATATCTGAAAAGAAAAGGGAAATTTAAAATCAGGACTCTTAAAATTAGGCCACGGCATTAATAAAGACCTTGTAGTGATGGAAAAATAGGCTTCAAAAGCCTTAGCTGGAAAACTGGCTTGATGTCTTAAGACTGTTTAGAAACTTACATAAACACGATTATCTTTAATGTTCAAATAAGATCCAAATATAGCTGAATGTCTTAATGCAAGGGTTAAACTGAAAAGATTTGGGCTGGGCTTGGAATTAGCTTGCAAACGTTTGTTTGTTTTTTTTCTCCAAGTGAATCCTTTTTCCTTTTTGCACTTCTATTTTCTCCCTTCTTAAAGAGCTTTTTGGGGGAGCATCCGCGTCTCTTTTTCCTTTCTGTTTTCCTGCTCTCCTCTTGCAAAGGATCGAGAGGCATGATTGATGCACATGACACAGCTTTCCAGCTAGGATTTGCACACGCACAATCTGGCCTAACACCACAATGGCAGATGATGATTTACAGAAGGTTTCTCTCCCCCAAATGGAAATAAAAAGGCGTTCACCAGGATTTATCAGATGTGGTTGTTCCCTTCTTGGCAGATAGATGGCGCGAGTCTTCCACATAACCTGGTCAAAGGATGGAGGCAGTTCACTACTCTTAAGAAACAAAATAAATACACAAACGCAGGCCAAGGGGGCAAATTGCACAAAGAAAAAGGACTGAGCAAGAAAGGATAATATTTCTCCTCTAAGATCCTGGTCTCTTTCATTTTCTAACCTCCCCCACCCCCACTAAGATCTTGGTTTGTTGTCCCCCCCCTCCACCCTTGTTCCAAAACCACAAGATGCACAACTGGCCCCCAAGGAACATCTGCAGCTGTGACCCTGTCCTTTTTCCTGCTTCCAGAGATCTGTTTTGCTTTCGCTCCCTCGCCATGTCCTTTTTTTTTTCCATCCTTTGCACAATCCTAGGCCCTACTCCCCGACTCCTCCCCCCATCCTACTCTTTATTTTTCTTCCTTCCTGGGCAAAGCTCTGCAGAGAATGGGAACTGTCATCCAATTATTTTTTTGTTCCTGCATCCTAGATCTTCGATCCTCGTTTTTCGGATGCCAACATTTGGCGTTGAGGCTGGGGGGAGGTGAACCAAAGGAAGCACATTTTGCAAGGCTTTAAGGCCCCAATCCATCTTTCACACCCACCACCACCCCTAAAAAGACCCCCATCCTTCCAAACAGTCCAGAGCATGCATGCACAGAGATGTAAACCATCTATACCAGGGGTGTCAAACTGGATTGCCTCGAGGGCCGGATCAGCATTGTAGTTCTCCGTAGGCCGGTTGGGGGTGGGTGGGGGAAATGGGATAGACACATCCTGCAGCACCCTGCTGGTCAAACCTTCACACAACACACACACACCCCGTGCCCCATTTTGGCTGGCAGGGTGCTGCAGGAGGCCGCCCAGGCCAAAAATGGGGCATGGGGGGGGCTTGCATGGCCCCCCTATGCCCCGTTTTGGCTGCCAGAGGCACTGTGGGCTGGTCCTTTGCTATTTCCAGGCTGGCCCCCTGGGGCAGTTCCGGCCTGCTGGCCTTGAGTTTGACACCCCTGATCTATATGTTCCTCCATCCATCCATGGCTTTCCTCTGCAGATCCCAAGATCTGGTGCCTTCGATCCCCTCCTTCAATCCCCCAGCTTGCTTCTATGGGAGAGATCCCCATGGTTTGGGTGGGGGGGGTACAGGAGAAATTGGGTACAGGGTCCCATCTGAGCTTAAAAGCCAGCCAAACTCCCAAAGTATTAAACCTCGGGTTTTTTTGGTGAGTTGGGAAGCTGTTTGTTACAGTACATCCTTGACTTACGACCACAATTGAGTGCAAGTTTTATGTTGCTAAGTGAGATGGTGGTTAAAGGAGTTTTGCCCCATTTTACAATCTGTAAAATACTACCGTTGTTGAGTGAATGGCTGCCGTTGTTTGGTTAGTAACCCAGTTGTTAAGCGAATCTGGCTCCCCCCATCAATGTTGCTTGCTAGGTCGCAAAAGGGGATCATGTTGTTAGAAATAACTAAATTCAAAAATAAAATGGTATATACTGTAAGATGCTTAAAGGTTTCACAAATAGGGGTTGGACTAGATGACCTTGCGGGATCCCTTCCAATTCTATTCTGTTATCAAATGAAATATATCTCCCTGTATATAAATCTTTGCTTTTATAATTTTGACATGCTCCATTGTTAAGACTTTTTATATTTTTATCTTATGCCTTTTATATTATTATTATGTTGGAGGGGGTTGTTGTTATAATCTCTTTGGAAAAATGGTAGTATATGATGAGCTTAGAAAGAGGCCCTGATGAGAGGATGCTACATTCCTTAAGGCTAAGGAAAGATGCCATGTGGGCAGCCAGAGTAAGAGGTACAGAGGGGTATGGATGAGAACATTATGGAAGGAGACAATTCTCCCTGGAGACATCCTAGGATTAGCTGCAACACCTGAGGGCAAATCCAATGAGT